CTTATTTTACTGAGCCATCTCCCCGGCCCCAGAACATCTTTTTATGTGGATATTTTACATAATGCCCAGTATTTTACATCCAAAGCAAGCTGCTGGCCAGAAAAGCTAAGCAAGTATCCATGTAGATTTGATGGATCATTAGTCTAAGTGAGATTTTGAGTTTAATAATAGTACTTTCCAAATGAGTTAAAATTAATTTGATATTGTTTACTTTGTTTTTGCCCAACATTTTGATTTATCATATCTTACTTTATGTTAAAAAGCAAGTCTGCTCTGAGTATGCTGAGGCCTTCCTGTTATAGGCTGGAATAAACGCTTATTATACTTCGTTAAATATGCCAGATCAAATATATAGTTAAGAATTAGTTATTTTTCTAAGTGTGTAGCAATAGTTTAAAATTGTACTTTTAACAGTTTTTGTCAATATGCTGTTTTTTTCCCTATGAAAAATACCAGGGTGAATTATGAACTACTGCCTATGAGAATTTGCACTTTATGTATTTGTGTGTCAGTTTCTTGTGGTTTTAGTCAAATGAAGTGTTATCAGTAATAAACAGGTCTCTTTATTGGCATGAGTTTCTGTGTAATTTTTATTATCTTAGAAATTGTGTAGCTCATAAAGTTTCAGTTTACTCAAAATGAAAATGTCTTTCAATTGTGCATGATATATCCTATAATGTACTTAGAGTTTAAATAAATATTCTGGCTCAACACTCAGTAAATGTTTCTTGATGGATTTAGCCCACATTCCTTAAGTGGTGGCTGGGAATGTAACTCAGTGGTAAAGCACTTACCCAGCACAGGTGAAGCCCTGGGTTTGACTTCCAGTACTGCAAAGAAAAATATTTTTTCTATAATTTTATTGAGAAACAAATAGCAATGAGACAGTTTCAAGCCAAATTAGTAGAGCAGTTTCAATAATTAACACATTGCATACATTCTTCCTAGTGGTTAATTGCTGTACAAGATGCAGACATGATATCCTATTTACAAACATTATTAGAACAAATCCCTCTATTCATTAAGAGAATGTAACTATATATCTATCCTAACCATTTTGAATACACAGATACAAAATGGACATTCATCTGTATCCCCTTTTTTGTTAAGGTCCATAATTTGAGTATTATAGGTGTATTAACTCAGCAAAATATACCAAAAGAGTCCAGTAGTCCATAATAGTATTGGGTCTTCTGCTTCACTGACAATGCCAGAAATTGTTGACCTGAGTCCCCTACAGCTCAACATAACAGCATGGCTTTACTTCTTCTTATACTTTCTTTTTATACTTTTCTGCTGGATAGTTAAGACCAAGATAACTTATGCAAGAAAAATATTCATTTCAGTCTTATTTTTATTTTTTTCTCCTTCAGTTGACCTAATTTGCTTATTCAAGTTAGCACTAACTCTCACAATAATGTAGGAAAGTGAAAGGTTTGGAAATATCTGAAAGAAGTAGTGATAACTCTTTGATACCATGGTGGTGGCAGGGCGAGATTGTTTTCTCAAGGGTCATTGTGAATGCATTCCTTGTCTCCAGCACCTTTGTGTCCCTTAGTAAGTCTCAAAGGGAAGATCAACGAAAATAGTTTTGCACAAGGTGCTTCTCTCACCTTCTAAACTGAATATTCTGAGAACCATGCCAACCCATCCTTAACTTTTCTCTCTCTTATTGTTCTTTATGCCACAAAACTAAGTGAACAAATAAATGTAAATAGTAGTATCAGTGGCCTACAAAGTGGCAGGGAAGGGTACATGATATGCAAATAAGGCTGACAGAGAATAGGTCTCTGAATGCAGAGTAAAAAGCAAAGGATTCTTGAGAGTTACTAGCTGACATCCAGCCCCATTTCAGTTAACCTCAGGCTAACTGTAGAAAGATGAATGGAAGAGACCAAAAGATATTGATTCCTCTGCTCAGGATAGAAAAAAAAAAAAAAAGAAAAGAAAAGAAAAAGAAAAAGAAAAAAAATGGAGGCATTATTGGATTTAATGAGATTTTTTTCAGTTTTTTACCCCTTCCATTTGTGCATGCTTCCCCCTTATGGGCAAGAAACTCAGAATCTGTCTTCATGTAGGAGCTCAAATTTGGTCCCTACTTGATTCTCTATGGTTAGGTACACCTTAAGAGTCAGAGCAGACTCTATTGAAGCCCACAGAGTGGATTCCTGACATACCCAAGGCATCTTCTTCTCATTATGCTGCTTGCTCTCCTACAATCTAAAGGTGCTATTGAAAATTCATTCAAGATACTTTAGTCTTGCTGCTAGATGGGACCCTCCCTATATCTATACAGAATGCTAAGATCCAGAGAGGAGAAGGGATTTCCCAGAGGTCATGGAGGAGGGTGGTACCTAACTTGATAATAATCCTTAGGTCTCTTTCTCCTTCTGTATACAAATATTGCTAACTCCTAGGATCAGAACAATGAATTAGATGTTAAAATATACCCACAATTCAAGAAGACAAATGAACTATAAGTCAGTTACACATTCTAGATTAAGATGCCTCAGACCCCCATTCCCCATATGACCGCATGAGGCTTTGGTGGGGGGCATCCAGAACAAGCCATAACAACATTCAAGTGCAGATGTTATGTAATGGAAATATGAATCTGGAGCTTGGAAGAAAAATTTGAGCTAGAGATATTAATTTTAAGTTATTGACATACAGAAATATTTAAATGGAAGTTCATATGGAGGAAAGAGTGAGCCTTAAACTTTTAGGCCTCCAATATTTACTGTCTATACCATAATTTTTTTTCTGTTTATCTTTATTCTCTTTTTAATTTCTTATAACTTTTTTTGTTTTTAACAAATTTGACACATTTAAATCTGGTGACCTAAACAACTAATTTGAACATAGCATCATACAATACAACAACCATGGTTGAATACAATGCAACAACCTTTTTTTTTTGGTACCAGGGATCCAACTCAGAAACATTTGCTTGTCAGGCAGA